GCGCTTTGGTGGGCGAAGGAAAAGGAGTCGCCTTATCTGCTGCATACAGCTGAATGGATAAGCGAAACATTACTGCCTACCCTCTTCTTCTTACATTGCACCTACTTTCCCCGTCCACGTTTTACCTATCCCACTACTTCATCTAATCCAGCTAACTAGGCGAGCGATTTCCCGCCATCGCAATTGTGTGCCTCCGCACAAAGTGCTCACCATTGCGTGCTGGAACATGCCCACACTACTCGACCGGAACTCGGGTGAGCGTCCCGAGCGACGCACGGCACTGGTCGCGATAGAACTCGCGTGCTTTGGGATCGATGTTAAAACACTCGGTGAGACGGCTCGCCAACTAAGGCAAGTTGCATGAGGCTGGTGCTGGTTGCACGTTCTACTGACTTGGGAACGCCACCTCATCATCACTTGAACATGGAATCAGATATGCATCATCCGATCGCTTAAATGTCCAGCTGATGGGAGAGCTGACTGGCATCAGCCCACGCTTGATGACACAGACTACGACTTGGAAGAGGCACGTTTGCCACTTTATTAGCACGTACGGTCACACCATGTGTTATCTTGATGACACAAGGGATCAGTTGTACGCTACCTTAGGCGCACTGACTGAACTAGTTGTCCGAATAAATGAATACGTACCCAAGTGGTTACGCAGCCGGATTGAGTCTGTGAAGACGGAATGAATTGAATCGAGAAACCGAGTTGTCTCTGCGATCATAAAGCACTTGCTTACCGCCGGGAACCGAGTCGTTCAGTCCTACTGCGCGATCGGCGGCCCCACCTGCTTAGGCTACTGGGGCCCATCGTTATCGATCGCGAACAACCGCCGCTGTGCATTAGAAAACAGCTGACTGTGGCTTTAAGCCTACGCTGGTAGCACATACACTTGGCTATTTACGGTCCCATGTAACAGTATGGTTGTTAGTTTACCCATCATTGCTGCATCTTTTGTGATTTATAAGGATGCACGAAATGACGACATCATCTCACAAACTACGCCTTCTGACTTTACTTTTCAGAATTATTAAGGGAACTTCTAGAGTTCCGTATATTTTTATCGAGCTTCTGCCCACTCTGATCTTGCTTTGGAAACGATACGGATAACCGGTTTCTCACTAAATCCCACTCTGATTTGCAATCGAATGAAGTGGTAAACATTGAGCAATGAATTTATGCCGGTTAAGAACCACTGCTTTACTAGTCCCGTTGGATAGGTGGTGGGGATATCACAACACTAATAATGATGATGATAATAATAATAATAGCAAAACAGTGCTTTTAATATATAAAGGACTTGTCGTTTGCTCTGCAATTCGCGTAGATTCACAGCACCTGCTTTAATATTAAACAAATCCATGGTACACTCCAGTAGTAGCGCTAACAAAGTATAAGTGGATGAGTACGTCATCCAACCGTCTTTTAAATATTGTTAGTGTAGGTGCAGCAACGACCGAATCTGGGAAGGCATTCCACGGATGATAAACACGAAGGGAAAAGAAATTCCTGCGCCACTCCAGACGGCTATACTATTCGGGGAGTTTCAATAAGTGAGCCCTCAGGTTTGTATTGCTGCTGAGTTGTAGTAAGAAATGGCACACTTGATGTGGGTTGTGCAGAATAAAGTGTACCACAATCAGGTCGCCTCGGAATCTGTGATACTGTCCGCTAATCACCCGCAATCGTTTCAGCCTCCCATAAAAATGGCGCGTCCCCATTACGTTCTTAAAGGTCCGACGTTGTGGCTGCTCCAGTGTGTTAAGGTCGTGTTCCAACCATGGATGCCATGTATAAATTACGTATTCGCCATGGGGGCGAACATACGCACTGAGCATTTGTCTAAAATAGAACTGTCTATATATCCGAGCGCCCGTCGCAACAACCCGCTGTGTTGGTTTCCAGTCTTTTCGGATTGCCTGGAGCAATTCAAGTCCTTTTGAACCAGGACAGCCAAGTCACGTTCGAGAGTTGATCATTGTGGTATATTCGTTTCGAGCCAGTATGAGTAGCTGGTCCGATGTCGGATGGAAAACACCTTGCATTTACTGACGTTGAAATACAGCAATTTTTGGTTTGACCATTGATACACCGTATCTAGATCATTCTAAAGCACATGCTGGCCGGCGTTCGCCTGGATCCTGCGCCATATCTTGATATCGCCGGCAAACATTAGGAAGTTTGAAGCGGTTGCCTTTGCAAGGTCATTAATAAACACCAAAAACAGACATGGACCTAGAACTGAGCCTTGCGTGACACCACACTCGAATTGTATGTGGTCCGATAAAGAGCTCCGAACTTTGACCACTAGTTGCCGTTGTAGTGGAAAGTTGTCAATCCAGCTTAGAAGAGGGTCACGGATCCCGTAATACTGAAGCTTGGAAAGTAGTATCCGATGGTTTAGACGATCGAAAGTCCTCGAAAAATTCAGGTAAATTATATCAACATCTTCTCCAGCTTCAGCTGACTCCGTCCAACTACTTCTTGCGATTAGTAAATTCCTTGTGCATGATCGCTGTCGACGAAATCCGTGTTATTCGGTCGTGATGATGTTGCAGTCTTCCAGCTAACACACCAGTGTAACGGCAACTAAGGATTCCATAGCTTTGGAGAAGAGATACTAGACGGTCGTTGGAGGGCTCAGTTCTGCCTCCACCTTTGTGAATCGGGGTTATAATTCCAAGATTCCACATAGCAGGAACCTGATTCTGCTCTAAACAGCGCTGGAAAAACTGAGCTAAATGTCCCTCCTAGTTGGCTTGCTACTGCTTCCAGTGCCTCTAGACAAATGGTATCGACACCCAACGAACTGTGTTTGCGTAGAGACCTCAGCTTTCGCAAAACATCTTCGGCAGTAAAAAAGATGTGGGGGAGCTCTGGAGTCGGGGAAACAACAGTTGGAAGATGGCCTATTAGTAAGACGCTCTGAAATGTGGGAGCATGTTGCATTTGCAACGCTTTTACTGCTTCTATAGCCGTTCTTGTTAGGCCATCAGCCCTCCTGAGTGGAGGAAGTCCTTTCTTCACCTTGCGTAGGCCATTGACATCCTTGTGCAGCAGTTTTCGGTTAGCACTAAGGTTTTTGCGATGTTCTGCTGATATGCGGTTTTGTCTTCTCTGAGCAGTTGAGTGCAGTGGTTATGTTGGACTAAATAGTTCTCCCAAGTTTCTGGCGTTGCAGCTTCTCTGTTCGCTCGCCATGCTGCGTTGTGCACTGCCATCCATTTTCGAGTTCGGCTCATAACGAACGAAACTTATGTAGACTTATTGCAAACTTTTGCCTCTGAAGCATCTGCAATCAGCAGAGTGAATTTATGGGTGAAATCCAGCCAGGCGACTTCCTGGGATTTTTCGGCAAGGAACGACTAATTTGTAGCGCTGACGAGCTGGGCTAATCGATCGTAGCTTGTGATGGTTCGCACAGACTCACAGTTGGCATTCAGCAATTCCGCATAGCAAACGAAGTTGAAACTGATCACCGCGTGATCACTGCGATCCAACGGGCAGTCTACAACCAGCACATCAATCATATGCTGCTCGTTGGTAAGCGAAAGATCCAGCACTGATGGCCTGTTACTTGTTCAGCATCGAGTGGGCCGTGGTCTGATTGTAAAGAGGAACAGTGGTTACGAAGTCTTCTAGATTGGCTATGAATTGCTCTCTGATCGTGATAGGAGTGTCTGCACAATGTACGTTGAAATCATCCATGATAAGGATATGAGTGTACTTACGCTGTAAACTGCACTTTAAAGCATCCTCAAGATGGCAGTCGGTTTCGGGTGTGGAGTTAGGGGGGCGGTACACCAGAGCAATAAGGCAAGTGTCTCTGCCTTTTGACTGCAAGCGACACCAAAGCGAGTCGGGGCACTGTGAGTCTGAATCCGCCACGGCTTCGCACTGTAAGTCGCTTCGGTAACACAGAATTACCCCTCCTCTTGTTGTGCGTATGTTTCATATGAGCGACATACCCGGCAGCGAAACTTCAGCCTCCGTCATTTCAGTGTGCAATCATGTCTCAGTAATACCGATGATATCATATGACCCGGAAGCTTGTCGATCTTTCAGTTCTGGCAGTTTGTTAAAAAGATCCTAAACATTCGTATAGAAGCCGGCTACTTTCTCGGTCTCTAGGAGCCCACAGAGGGCTGAAGGGGTCAATTGTGGGAGAATGCCGACCAATGGGAGTTCGGCAGTTATTCGTTTTTTGATGGAATAATGATACCTCTTCTGTAAACTGATTCGGCCAAGGTACGTCCTAATCTTCCTTTAGAGTTACCTCGGAGGCAAACAAAGCAGCAGTAAAGTTAAGCTTCTGTACTATCCTCGGTACGCTTGCTGCTTCAAATGCTTTGCATTCTTTAACCGAAGTTCAGAAGGCTTTTCCGATTTCCCCCATTGATCCGATTGTCTTGATCATCTACCCGCTTCTCCTTCTAGCACCATTGATGTGCGATTTTCTCTTGTCAGCACTCATACGTACGTAGAATCTCCTATTTTCCTCATTTCCCAGTGTTCTTTCGATCGTTTACACACACTAGTTCATATGTTGGCATTAAGAAGAGTGAAACCGTCACCGTAGTATGACTGTCTCACTCAGCAATCAGCCGATGTATTTGGGAAACGAAGAGCCGCCACGTCTCCTATGTGCGCCACCGTCTTCTTGCGCTCCACAGTGGTCTACTAGAGGTCTTCGTTATTAGTCGAACTCATCCCTTCGTACTTTCACCTATTTGATCCTAAACAATAATATTATCCCCACGCATTCACTGCACTAGGCCATTAACATCCCACTCTGCTCTATTTTTTGATCTCACAACCGTTCGATCGATAGTGTAGGTGAGCTGCAAATTAAGGCAATCGCAATCCTTTGTCGAGGCGCCTTTCCGTCTCTCCTCTCTCTCTGCTTACAACGTTACAGGATCTGCATTCTTGTGTCTACCCATTTACTGTAATGTGGTATGCTTTTATTCGCCTAACTTTGTTTCTTCCTTCAGAGTTCACAGTCCAACCTCACTGTTGTCAAGGATTTACGTACTTTCGGTTCATGAGCAGCTCAATTTCTACCGATTGTTGACCAAGGGCTTGGTTCATCGTGGTATTTTGCCGCCACAGGCAGTACCAGCTGTGGAAGCGATGCTTGTATCGATGAACTTCACTACGTCCTCTCTGGACATATGACACCAGTCGATTCTTCTTCTATCTCGTTCTCCATCGTGTGCGTCTCCGCTGTTGTGTCGAAGTATAACAAACTTCCTTACTTTCCGTACTCATTCGAACTGTGATCTTAAGCGGTCGTGCTTTCCTCCACAGCCTCTCACCGACCCCGCAGAATCCTCCAACACTACTGTTCTATATTCCCTTCCTCCGTACTGGATCCACTGTTCCCCTCATCCAAGCTAGTAACTTCATCTATTTATCTTTTGTTTTTGCCGTTATCGTCATGATCATCGTCCGATAAACACGGGCTCTGTGAATTTGCTTATATGTCCTCAGAATGTATTCCAAGACTATCTCAATGTATGTGCCACTCTTGTGCACTTTCACACTGAGTTGGTGGTTTTGGAGATTTCCACCACTTTGTTGTCATTCTCATACAGAGTAGTTCGGCATCTGCGTTCCATTGTGTTACTGATATGTCAACTAGTGCGCTGGCTTACACTGCATTATGTACTCCACACTAATCTCGAATACTGAATTTCTCACTGCGCACTTCGCCATCCGTATTCGGATTCCATTCGACAGTTGTTGCTACCTCAGGTCGGACTAATCGATCTAGACCAAAGGGACATCGCCCGTGTACACAGCGAAATGGTCGTGGATACGCCAGGTATGCATGATGTCTTGCCTATTTGAGTAATGGATTGGCCGCATCCGTGTCCGGATTTACCTGTCACTGGGGCTTCCACTGGGACAGCCACAGGACGCCTGCGCCTACAGAGAGACCAGAGGTGGCTATCAATACACCACTCACAATTCCACCCACACACCCCATTTATGGTGTAAACCTAAAGAAATAAGACCGGGAGACATGTGGATGGGAGCCACGTTTCATCAACGGAGCCGGCCACACTCCTTCAACAAGCAGAACAGAAGCATTCCTGCCTAATTGGGAAATCATGCGCACCAGACGTACACAAAGCGGCGACTAGGCCGTAGCCCGTTCCATACACGATGCAACCACTTTTTGAACCTAGCACCGTCACGAGGGCGGTGTACTCCGCTTTCTCTAGCAATGACCAACTGTCTCCTGGAATCAGTTTGGACGAGGTAGTGGATAATAGACATGTAGGCACCTTGTCAACATTCACATCAGGCGCAACCGCACCGGGGTGTTCAAGCAACATCCAACTCCTAAAATGCAAGAATACTCATTACGCAGGCAAGCGCGCCACTGCCGCCGTTTTATGGGGAATGGAAACGGACGCATTGCGCTTCTGCTCCGCGTGCAATAGTGCCTTCTCCTGCACCTGGGCATCCGCTCCCTTGATCAACCCACGGGATTCGCGCCGATCAATTCTGCCTTTTATTCGCAGCGCCTGAAATCAACATTAGTTCGTCATAAACTCACCTTGTTCATTTCCTGGTAATGTTCTGCCGGTTTGCCTCTGTGCCGCTTCCCTGCACTAAGATGGTCGTACAAAAGCCCTATGAGTACCCTGTCGAATTCATTCGGTATACGTATATACATGGATTGGCGTCATCCGTGTCCAATGGCAGTTCGAAGACAACATTGACACATGCGTTTGTCCAAACTATGAACTACCACAAACTGTATAGAGACGCAGTAAACCTCATGTACTAACTAGTACTGCAAACGGGCCAAATCTACCATTTTAGCTCTGAACCAACCGCTTGCATCCTCGCTGACCGGTGTTACACTGGACAGTTGTTCGTACAGATGCTCAAACTGAGCTTCAAGCCCTATTCTGTCACCTCTATTTGGTGGAACTGAAAAATTGCAACCAAGGGATAAAGCTTCGATTTGGTGACGACTCAAGGGGGTGGTTGATAGATTTAGCACATACTTCTCAGGTTCTAACGGCAACTGATCGTTGAAACATCCCGTGACATGGAACTCATTAGATGCTTTCTAGGATTTGAACGCGTTTTTAGCAACAAAGTGCGAAGGAAGTTGAGGAATTTTGCACGGCATACAGTGTATAAGCAATTGGGTACTTGGTCCACACATCTCGCCCTGGCGCTTAATTCATCGATGCGCTGAGCAGTCGCTTCGATGTGGGATTTAGTTACTTTTCGCAAGTTCCTGGCATTGAGGGGTAAATTGTCCTTACGCAGTGACTTTACAAGTTAACGCGGGTAAGTTGACGTTTACAGGCATTCACGGTAAACAATCGCACGCATTGACTCACGAGCAATGCAACGACGTATTTCCACTAATTTGTCCAACGAGCGAAATATATCAAGGGGGAGGCGTTTATTTAGAAATTTCATGCAGGCATTTCCCTTCACGAATTTCAATAATGCAAGAAGGAACAACATTTCAACGGAAGTTATTGCATTCAGCAATTATGCGTATTCTCGTCAGCTGTTTACATACAGTTAGTGGAAAACAGTACGATGTTAACAGCAAAAAATTCAAAGCGGTCCAAGGTCCTTAAGCTCACGTGACCTGTTCCGGCAGTCGTGACCGCAACGTTATTTACCGTGATTATTCGGTTTTCCGCACTCTTTTTCCTCATTGCACGTGTGTTAATGGCAGTCATCTATCTTTTAAATGGGAAGATAAAAGCTATCTAATATATGATATGGCCAAGCGTGAATTCCATTCAAGTCAACAAACTGGCCACTGTTTCAGATGAAACCAACGATACAAACCAACCGGATGTAAGAGCGCTCAGGTGTCCAAATTCCGCCAAGGGTGGATTGTCCTTCAGTAATCGACCGCTCTGTGCACAGGTAGTTCTGAGGTCAACTTCGTGGTGTACCGCGTCACGTTATGTCGCAAGTTCCAACAAGCACACGCGCAAATGCGGCTAGAAAAGGAGATTTGCGTGCGTTAGAGGGAACGCGATTCGCAATGCGGCGTGAGAGTTCTTGGTCAAGCAAGGCAGTGTACGAAGATATAATTGCTTCTAGTAGCCTTATACAGCTACTGACAGGGTTGGTATAGGTCTCTTGAAGTAGACCTAGAAATAAGGTTCTCGATAACTCCAAAAATCTTGATGAAGGCAGAAAAGTGGTGCATTCGTAGGCGAACGAAAGCGCTGAAACACAGCCAAAATTGAAAACCGGCGTTTGACGTTGATCCGTTTATAGTACCCTCGAGAAAGTTTGCGCAATGGGTAGGCTTGATCGAGCCCGATTGAATGAGGGTATCCAGGCCGATGTGCGAAAAAATTTGAATCCGAAAAGTTGAAAAGTCAGGAGCAACGAAAAAATTCCGACCAGCACGTCAGCTGCGTTACGTTCAACCAGTGTTTGCTTGGTGGAAACCGATGCGTGTGTTACCTGGTCCCTCAGTATGGCTGGTTGACTACAGCTTAGGGTCTCGTGTATAGCGAACAAACTACTAGGTGTAACACACTTTACAGAAGTTGAAGCAGGGCATGCTGCAGACAATATATTTATTTATGAGAGCGAGAAGAGAGTGGGTACTAATTGAGACTGAGTAAGGTAAGGGTCGCCTGGCTCTCTTCTTTGGCCTAAATGGTGAATTCGGGGAGTTATTTTCACAAACATGTGCAGGCCCGTTTTCTCCTATAGGTGTAACGCTGGCACTCACCAATTACATGGCAGCTTCTGTTAGTCTTTCACACTTCTTAAATAGCACAGACAGCTAACAACTGGGATAGTACTGCATACTGAGCAGTACCAAAACGCCTCTGTCCTGTTTTTGTCGACTCCTTCGCAAGGCATTTTGTGTGATAGCTTTTCAAGCAAACACTGCATACTAGCTCACATTTCACCATTTTAGCTCATAATTCGCACTTACTATTCACGTGAGACATGTTCGTCGAGGTCACGCGTTTGTCAGATGAATAGTTAGTACAGCTTCTCGCATCAGTGATAAGTGTGAGTCAGCGTGGAGCCCTAGCTGTCAGCATTGATTCCTTCTGAGCACACGTTACAGCATTTGTTGGTTGATCGATGATTTGAGACCTAGTAAATGTATCTACATACAACACTGAACACAGATTGAGAGATCTCAAGTTCCTTCACAGGCGCGTTGATAAACACCGGATTAGAATAATCCTAAGCTTTTCGGACTACCTCGAGAATTCTGCGCCGAATGGTGCTACACAGAAGGGTGATAGGCACAAATTGAATGAATCATCCGCATGTGTTAAATCACAGATGACAGTCAAATCCGGTAGTGATGGTTAGGACTTTAGTGCTCAAGTGTATTATGCAATAGTGGGGGGATGCTACATGATGTGTACAGCCTCCTTCGAGTAGGCATTTCAAGATTTTAGCTTGCTTTCCTCTACCTTTGAACTTGATCCATGAAATGTTTGGTAAGTCGCAATCTCCTCCACCTACCTTAAAGCGAAAAATAAATGCAGAGGCATGTCTGGTTGCATTCTGAAGCAATCTATTTTCAAGAATACTGTTATCCAAATGGACTCACAGAGGAATGCGAGTCGCTTGTCCCTGCATTGTGAAGCACGTAAGTTGTTCATACAGTAAATGATACAACCACCTCCCCTACCATGATTTCGGTCATTTCGAAAGAAATAATACCCTTGGATAGCAATAAAATGATCCTCACTCTCACTAGTACACGATGATTCGGTAATAAGAAGGACATGGAGTTGATGAAGAGCGACGAAGCAGCGGAGCAAGTGTATTTTAGATACTATAGAACGGGCATTGATGAACACCAGTTTAAATGTACCATCATAAAAGGCATACTCCATGTGTTTACATAATATATTATTTGAGCGGCCCTCTATTCCTCTGGGATTGTCATGTATTAAATGGCTAGCGGTGGTGAAGAATGGAGCGTGGGATCTAAGAAAAATTCCTGTGGCAGGGTGTGGTCGACGTGAAAAAATGTATTCTCTACTGGAGAATATGGGAGTAAATTGGCCGTGTCTTAATGTAGCTTATGTATTCTTATGGTTTTCAATACGTGCACGGAGAGGCATCTCTAGCAGTATGGTGGTGAATCCCACATACCTAACTATCCGCAGAGTGACATGAGGTTTAATCTATCTAAAGGTGGCACAGTATTATTGACTGATATCACCTTGAAAGGGGGTTAGTCAGGGGTTTGCAGTGTGTTAGCTGGGTCATGGTCTATATTTGGAGTGAGCTTAGCTCGTTTATCCATGGCGGACACACGTTCTGTAGTTGGTCTAAAGTAACTATGTTAGCACGTTCAGTTTGGTGCCACAATGCGGTTCTAGGGCACTCAACAACTGACAAGGAGAACCTATTCGTGTTTACAATGTTTGTGGGTGTAGTAGCAGGGGCAGCAGATGAACCGGGTGCTATAATCGAGCTCTGCTAATACTTGCGGGGTACTGGTTATAGGTTAAGAATTCTTTCGGTAAACCCTCGTCCCACCCAAACGTTTACATAACGCTGATTGCGTGAGGTAAGCGTCGAATCGGGCTGGAATTGATTTCTAAGCTGTTTGAACGGTCAAGATCGAGGACTAAAGGCGGCTACAGATCGCACGAAAAGTGCGCCAAGGGAAAATTAATACGCAAGCTTCAGCAGCCTAAAGTAACTAGGT